AATAAAAGAAAATAATGGAAATGTCAAAAAAATAAAAGAAAATAAGTTCCTCATGTGATATGTGGTCTAGTTGTTGGGAAAATTTGCAAATATGAATTTTGACTTTATTTGCAAAATCTCTCTGAAATTTGTAAAAATGGGCATAACTTTTGCATACTAACTCGGATGAAAAAGTTTTTTATATGAAAAATCATCTACTCGAAAAGTTACATCCAAATTTAACGGGGGAAACCCCGTTAAACATTTTCAAAATCCTCAAAAACCTAATAGAAAAAAAGTTACGGGGCTTTTAAGATTTAGAGTGGAAAAAATTGAAAAATATTCAAACAGTGGGCAAACTATGGTCAAACAATGGTCAAACTAATTATTCTAGAATATTAGTGTTACTAAATAATTATTTCAATTTTGGTCAAATCTGGTCAAACTATGGTCAACTGTGGTCAAACTATGGTCAAACAATGGTCAAACTAATTATTCAAGAAATATTAGTGTTACTAAATAATTATTGTTTTTTAAAACAATAGTTTCAAACTCAAACAGTGAAATGTGTCACTTCATGCTCAAGCAAAATTCCTGAAGGTTAATAGGATTGACATCTTACTATTGTCAGAAAAACAATAAATGCAGAATTTTTTTTTCAAAAACCTTTAGTCGCGGTTGGCCAGAAGAACCGCGACTAAAGGTCCTCCGCCCCGACGGCGGCCTGACGCCCACGTGGACGGGCCTTTAGTCGCGGTTCTTAAGCAACCGCGACTAAAGTGAGGTTCCTTTAGTCGCGCCTATTTGGTCGCGGTTGCGCAACCACGACTAATGGCAGTTGCGAACCGCGACCAAAGGCCTTTTTTCCAGCAGTGTCATAAGTCATAATCGACAACGGGGTTTCGCGCACGCGTACACAACATCACTATAGCTAGCAAACGATAGCTGGGGTGAGGGTATCGCGCTACACCAATGTGGTGTACATCGAGAGCCTACATTCGGTATCTCATAACCGGCTGGGGGCTTTCGGGCAGGTGTACGCAACAGCGAGGTATTGTACGTCGAGAGACAACGTCCGACTCATGCATAGATTCATGATGCAAGTTCTTCTACTCTTAGCAACTCGTGCGTAGACTCGTCATGCACCATCTTAAGGGCATCTACAATGCGCGACGCTTGTAGGAGGCGCCAGGATCGAATTCCTGTTCGATCGGTGGTTAGTCGAGAGAATCCTGGCGTCCGGTGCCATATTGACGCAAAAGTAGGAACTGAGCGCTTAAGCGTTTTCTCTCCTGGTGTTCGATTTTCTAATTATTTTATTTCTCTAAGCGCCTGTACAGGCGTTCACCATTGAAGATGCCCTAAGACAATATGCTTTTTCCATCTCCAAGAGACACAGAGGCACAGAGGCCGCCCACCTGAAGAGCGCCACGAATTCCTTCCAAGGCTGCGAGCAGAACGACTTAGTCAGGGCCAGCACGCGTGCATAGCAAAAACTTCAGAATTCATGAGAACAGTCCATAAATTGTAATCGTTTGCGCTGGCGACCTTTCATTTTCTTCCCCGTGTTCCTCCTGCCAGCAGGTGGCCGCTAAATTAGCTATTCATGGTTTAATAAGCAGACTTTAGTGGCTATTCATATGCAGCTGAGGTTTCTGGTGGTTTCGCAAAAAAAAAAAACTGAGGTTTGTGGTGCATAAGCATCCAGACCAAAAATCATTGGGAAACACTACAACTCCACAAGCATGCAGTGCTGGCTCGCAACTTTTATTCGACCTGGCAAGTAAAATATACATATTTACATAACTAAACGCAATTAAAATTCTTCCAGGTACACCATCTAGTACTCTATATTTGAGCTGTAAATAGTACTCTTGGTCTGGCATGATTATGTCAACTTTATATTTAAGCTATAAATAGTATCCTGGCCTGGCATGAATATGCACTCACCAACTGTACAAGCATGCATTCAAGTGTTTTCTTGATTCTATGAATCAATTTTGACAACTTGCCATCTCACAGCTTTTGCTAGCTTGTACTATTGACTTTGGAAATGAATTTGCATCATAAATATTTCGGCGGCGACTTACGAAATGAAAACCGGGTTCCTGATAATCACGGTCCTTATGAGATTTTTTTTTATTGCAACCCAAAGACTGCAGGATTCCCATGTTTGAAGCTGCTCAGGTTTTTAGATGATAATGACTTGGCCTATCGATACACGCTCTGCTGGAGTCTCTTATAGGAATATTTTGCAAAAACATGTTACTTTTTGGGCGGTAAGACGCAACTGCTGCTTTTTAGTTGGTACTGACTTAGTCCTGCCCCTTCATCTCCGATCTAACGCCAGCGCGTGATCACCCCATGCATTTCGCAAATTCATGGACTGTGACACCGACGTCTCTCCGAAGACCAGAACGTCCGGATTCATAGCAACAGCCCACAAGTAGTAATGGTTTGCACCCCAAAAAAATAATGGATTGCGCTTGCCACCTTTCCGTTTCCTTCCCACGTTTCCACTTGCCAATGGAATAAAGGCATCTCCAACAACAACCTACAAAGTTTCTTCCGCATCCATCCACAAATAGGGTTATCAGTCCGTGGACATGGATGCTTGAGAATGCCATCCAACCGTAGCCGCATACATTTTGATAAAAGTTTGAACCAACCGGACGAAATTCGTGCAAACACGGCTGGATTTCATATATAAACATAACAGATTTAATGCCGGGGACTCCGTAGCCTCCACTTCCTTGAAGCCCAGACGGGGACCCATGATGGTCTGCACTGAAAAAAAGCCGGGCAAGGTACAAGCTGTGTATGTTGGCGTCGCCTCGGCGGTGGCCTCCCTGGGGCCCAAGCGGAGGCGGCCTCCCATGTTCTACTTTCCCTCGATGTTGGCAGCGGACGCGGACACGTGGGCCGCCGACTCATCGATCTCCGTGCACCCTTCTTCTTTCTCTGCAAGCATGGCACGGCTACGTGCGCATCGACGGTGGATGGCGCGGTCGCCGGCACTAAAGGCACGGTACAACGTGGCGGCGTCAACGGCAGCGTCGATGCTCCTGCCGTCGTGCCGGCCTAGAGAGGCGAGTAGCTTAACCACATGCCGACTTGAGCCGGCAACTTACTCCGTCAGGCTAGGCGAGGGAGGTGGAACAACTAATTTATTTGCTCGTATCCAGTGGGCTCGGCGGGCCGCCTAGCCGGCTTTTATGCCCAAGAACTGTTCGTCCTGCTTGTTGGATGTCATCCAAAGGATGGAGAAAATGATGGAAGGAGGAGATGGGGAGCGGCGGACTTGGTGGTGTGATTTTTGCCTGGCGTCTGGCCTCATTTAAATAGAGGGAGGACGGGGAAAGCTTGCCCGGCGTGGAGTTTAATGTCGGCCCACTCATGAACGGAGGTGTCACCGAAGTAGGTTCCTCGGTTTTCATGCGGGTTTAAGGGAGGCGTTTGAATGCGACAAGGAGACGTGTTCATCCAGGTGTGCAGCGGGTGGTGCCGTTCGACCGGTGTGCCGCTTCAATACCAGAGGCAATGAGATGAGAAAACACGCCTGGGCTACGTTGCGAATTGATACAGAACCATGTTTGATGGTTTTCGCTGTCCGGACAGATCCAGACGGATGCAGGAGGTCTGTGGGTCGGCGTTGAAGTTCCCTAAGACTAGCCACGATGGGAGTAACTTCAGCAGTAACATCGAGTCTAACTCAGCAAATTTGTTTATGTGGCAATGAGTTAATGAGGAGAGAGGTAGTAGTAGTAACTTAGCTAGTTACTGTAACATCACATGTCCCAATACAATATGAGTCTATAACCTAATAAATGAAGCTATGCATGTTACCACACTTAGGGGGTGTTTGTTTCCAGGGACTTTTTTGTGTAGGGACTAGAAAAAGTCCCTCATAAAGACTTTTTTATCAAACGGGAGGGACTTTTTAGGGACTAAACTAGGCATTTGGGACTAAAGGAAGAAGACTCTCAAGAAGGGTCTTTTTGAGACTTTTTGGGACTTTTCCATCAATGCCCCTCCATGCATCCATTGGTCCGCCACCCCATGGTGTTGTTTGATTGTTATTTTTCTATATACTAGGGGCAACATGGTCATTTAATAGCCTCTAGAAAGGGACTAGGGACTTTTTAGTCTCTGGAAACAAATAGGGAGGGACTTTTTAGGGACTAGGGACTTTTTAGTTGGGACTAGAAAAAGTCCTAGGACTAGAGAACCAAACACCACCTTATGTTACTACCTACTATGAAGATAATAGTATAGTCTAGAAATACGTGTATATTACTAATGTATGTTGCTCTTCATTGTGGCTAGTCTAAGGGGTTTACATTCACATACCATGCAGGTGCGCGCTAGGCCTTTAGCTTCCACAATGGAGACTGGACTGGCCCGGCCGCCTATATATACGCTTCATCGCCACTGCACTCTAGAGCTACAAAACCCTCCTTCAATTCGCGACACAAAGCCTACAGCTGGCTAGCTAACCCAGTGCACCTACCTACTGACCAGTTTGCCGGAAAATCATCAGCAAGATCACTCGATCGAGATCAAGCAACATGGAGCTGCTGCTCTTGCTCACCGTGCTTCTCTTTGCGCACGCGGTGACCTACCTGGCCTGGGCGGCCGCCGTCCGGCGCCGGCAGTCGCGGTGCTACCTCCTGGACTACGTGTGCTACAAGCCGTCGGACGACCGCAAGGTGACGACGGAGATGGCCGGCGCGCTGATCGAGCGCAACCCGCGCCTCGGGCTTTCCGAGTACCGCTTCCTCCTCCGGGTCATCGTCGGCTCCGGCATCGGCGAGGAGACCTACTCCCCGCGCAACATCGTGGACAGCCGGGAGGACGCGCCGACGCACCAGGACGCGGTGGAGGAGATGGACGCCTTCATCGACGACGCCATCGCGGACCTCTTCGGCAAGAGCGGCGGCTTGATCAAGCCCCGGGACGTGGACGTGCTGGTGGTGAACGTGTCCATGTTCTCCCCGGCGCCGTCGATCGCGTCCCGGATCGTGCGCCGGTACGGCATGCGGGAGGACGTGGCCGCGTACAACCTGTCCGGCATGGGGTGCAGCGCCGGGCTGGTGTCGCTGGACCTGGCGCGCAACGCGCTGCGCACGCGGCGGAACGCGACGGCGTTGGTGGTGTCGACGGAGTCCATCGCGCCCAACTGGTACCCCGGCACGGACAAGTCGATGATGCTTGGCAACATGCTGTTCCGGTGCGGCGGGTCGGCCGTGCTGCTCACCAACGACCCGGCGCTGCGCGGGCGGGCCAAGATGGAGCTCCGCTGCCTGGTGCGCTCCAACATCGCCGCCAACGACGACGCGCACGCGTGCGCGCTGCAGCGGGAGGACGCGGACGGGCGCGTGGGGATCAGCCTGAGCAAGGCGCTCCCAAAGGCCGCCGTGAGGGCCTTCACCGTGAACCTGCGGACGCTGGCGCCGCGCATCCTCCCGGTGACCGAGCTCGCGCGGTTCGCCGCCGGCCTCATGCTGAGGAAGCTCTCCTCCTCCTCGCGCAAGCACGGCGGGAAAAGCGAGGGACCGAAGATCAACTTCAAGTCGGGCGTGGAGCACTTCTGCCTCCACCCGGGTGGCACGGCGGTGATCGAGGCGGTGAAGCGGAGCCTGGGGCTGGACGACGGCGACGTGGAGCCGGCGCGGATGACGCTGCACCGGTGGGGGAACACGTCGGCGAGCAGCCTGTGGTACGTGCTCTCGTACATGGAGGCAAAGGGGAGGCTGAGGCGAGGGGACAGGGTGCTCATGGTCACCTTCGGCTCCGGGTTCAAGTGCAACAGCTGCATGTGGGAGGTGAAGGGCGACATGGCCGACAAGGGCGCGTGGGCTGACTGCGTCGACGACTACCCGCCGGCCAACACCGCCAACCCCTACATGGACAAATTCGGGTGGCTCAACGACGTCGAGGGCGACACCGTCATGCTTTAATTCATGCTCGCTGCTGCGTACTCATACGCCGTCCGGCCGATCACAACGAGATCGGGGAAGGTGGTGGGTAGTACTAATAATTATTATTTCATGTTATTCATCCAGTACATACGTATACTCCCTGGAGAATAAATGTACCTAGATATAGCTTATAGCCTTATTAGAGTCGTCGAGACAGTAATGTGTTGATGATTCTTCTTCCTTTCTAAACAGGAATAGTGTTGTTGATTATCCGTGGTCAAGTGTTTATAAACTCATAATTCCTCACTGTATATGCTCTCTTGTCATCTACTCACTTCATACAGAAGTGTACTACTCTATGTTGTAGTATGTTTCAGTGGACATATGTATTCTTTTTGGAAATATGGGTGTGAGGTCTCTCAGGCTTAACCAAGTCTCAAGTGACATAATAATACATGTAAAGAAAACTGGATTTTCTTTTCCCGTGTGTACTGCTCTTCCTCACTGTCTTCCTCCTCCGTGTGCCGACACGATTTCACCCTCCGTCCGTCTTCCAGCCTAGGCCAAAGCGCCTGCTGCCACCACCCCGTGGCTGGCTGTCCCGAATTAATTCGGAAGTTGCCTACTCTGTTCTCAGGTCGAGGTCAACGTACATGGTACGTGCGTTCGCGTCGTGTAGTCAAATTGCATGTACACACAAGAGCTATGTAGCCGAGGTCAGACAAAGATATGAGTGATCTGCGTCTGCACAAGATCGAACGGGCGACCGATATTGATTGGTCTGCAGCTGCACGTATGTACTACGTATATACAACTTGTAATGATAGTGTAACTGTCACGTGCATGCATTTATGTCACGACGGGGAACCAGTGGTTGGTTGGATTTGGATGGACGACGGATATCTTCGACGTGGTGAGTACCTACAGGTTTGGTTTATCAACTATACCTTCTTTTTTTTGAGGGAATTTATTATATATGGTATTGTTATTGCACAATGGGACGATTCTCTAAGAGGGTCTCCTCCATCTAAAAAAGAGGGTGCCTTCGACTAGATTGGAGCCATCTTTTTGTGAGACCGGAGCTTGGTATTCCTGAGTGCCAAGTTTCGGCAGACATTTCAAGTTTTAAAAATTCAAAAAATAAAATTTCCAAGTTTAAAATATTAAAAAATTATATGAAACACTGTACACATTTGTGACGGATCTGTAAATTTTCGTTCAATAATATTGTGATTTATAAGCTTCTAAAAAATCTCGGCCCAACAAAAAAATTGACATATTATGTATTTGCTTTTCTGTGTACTAGCAGAGTGGCATACCCGATGTGCAGACTAAACTTTTAAGATTCTATCATGAGAATGATTTATTTGATTTGGCCGTAGAAAATTGGAACGGAAGGTGATCAAATTCGCAATATGAGCCTTTGGCAAACACATTGTTGTCTTAGGTCAGTTTGATTTTCTCGTTGATATATGAAATATATGTTACGAAGTAATCATGTATTCTTGTCATGCATACTATACTAACTTTTCATAATCACTCCTATTGTGCAATTTATATTTGTACCATTTTCTTGGTATCTTACCGTGTTGGTTTGTTTTAAGGTTTTCTATTCAGAATAAGGCAGACACATATTTATATTTGCCAATATTGTGTAAGATTGACATATTAACCTGCTAGTTGTAGATGTGTGTACCTGTAATGTTCGCCAATTATGTCAGACATGATATTTTACTTTGAGAAATTCTTAAAGAATAGTTACGGAACCTAACACTACTACAAAAACCCTAGTAATAGCGCTTGAAATATGCATATCACTAGTGCTGGGTCCAATGCTACTGCTAGCGCGCTACAGCTAAGTTGTAGCAGTAGTGCTGGTATAGGCAGCGCTACTACTAAGTATTGTTAGCAGTAGCGCTTCTACTGATAGTTATCAGTACCGCTTTTTCATGTGAAGCGCTGCTGCTAGGCCAACGCTACTGCTAGGTACTCTCCAGCGCTACTGCTAATGTTCCTGCTTTCGCCGATCCTCACCCCCTATGTATTTGTGGTGTATTTATACATGCTCTATACAATAGTTTCATCATATCATACTAAGTATACACTATTCTCATCATAACATAGACATACAGTAGTCTCATCATACCATCATCATCATTCAACACAAATATCATCAAATCTCAAAAATAGCGATACACAAGTGCGATCATGTCATGTCTCGAATAAGTGCAACTGCATGGTCATGGCACACACACAAGTTTCAGCATCTCTATCTAAACCATGATGTAGAAGAGAAGAGCGATCAGCATGAGAAAGAGCGCGACTATGTAGTACCGGCGGTCCCGCCCCTGCTCATGCTGGAGTGTCCACCTCAAGTAACTACTTTCCGCTTCGGCTCTGCCGTCGAACCCTCTATGGCTAGCACCCGGGTACCTATGCACCTGGGCCTGAGTGGCTGGCCAGTGGTCATAGACTCCTGGAACCCTCCCAGCGTACACGACATAGTAGCCCTTCGCCATCTCTGATCTATGTACCTGCATCGTGAGTTGATGAATTGAACGATAATATGCAACATAATGTACTTAAGAAAACAAGGAGGCACAATTAGCAAAATACAATCAAACAATAGTAAACATAAATGACGAAGTTCCTCATACCCAAACTAATTAATAGAGCGATCTACGCCAGTTCAGGACCACGGTTTAGTTACCTCACATAGTTTCGCCGTGCGTAAATTCAAAGTTTTGCCATAGAAAGACAGTAGTGACACATTGTCATCGACAATTAGTCCTCCATGTCGGCGGTCCAATCTTCATAGTCAGGGAAGAAGCACCCGAGCTTCTTGAAAGGCTTCAGGTCCAGACGCTGAGCGAGTAGCAGTGCTCGGACATCTTCCTGCGTGATTGGCCCATGGTAGAACATCCTTGTTGGTTCGAGGACCTGCTTCATGATCACTTGGGAAAGTTCACACTCTACGTGATAAAACTTAGCTCTGATTCGATATCCGATGTCCTTCTATGCTTGTGGCCCAACTGACAATCTCGACATCGTTGGTAGTAGGTGACATGCGAAGGCGTTGATTATCCCTTTTGTACTCGAGCAGGAAGATGTCCGAGCACTACTATGGAGTTACTAGTAGCGCTTTCCTGGAAAAGCACTACTGCTAAATAGCAGCAGCGTTCACTTCTTTCCAGCGCTACTACTATGCTACTGTGTATAGGCATTTTCCTAGTAGTGTAAACTGTGGAAGGAGGGAGTAAGGACATAAGGAAGAGAAGAATATGAAAGAGTTTGAATTGCAAGACAATGACCATGTTAGTAAACATAGGAAGAGACCATTCGAAGTGAAAACTAAAAATAGTAATACCTAAGTAGTTGAACACTTTATTCATGAGTAACAATTTAATAAAAAGATGGTAATGTGTATAATAAAAAGGTAATAAATAAACAATTTCATAACTCTCCTATAAAATAGAAATTTATAATTCAATAAAACGTGAAGTAAAGCTCATAAACATGAGCTAAATTGACCATAAAGAGCCACACGGTAACTCTAACCAAATATTATCTTAGAAGAATAAATCTAAACTAGTTTGCTCATCGAAAACAACGTATGCAATATTGATTAAGCCAACAAAGCGATGTTGAGATTTTATCAGACCTTTTATGTAAGGGAATTTAAATGGCATATTGCTATGTAGTACATGTTGTTGGTAGATTGTTTATCTATACATGGTTGGTAATATTAGGAATTGAAGCACAATGAGATGTACTGAAGGAAATATGCCCTAGAGGCAATAATAAAGTTATTATTTATTTCCTTACATCATGATAAATGTTTATTATTCATGCTAGAATTGTATTAACCGGAAACATAATACATGTGTGAATACATAGACCAACAGAGTGTCACTAGTATGCCTCTACTTGACTAGCTCGTTAATCAAAGATGGTTATGTTTCCTAACCATGAACAAAGAGTTGTTATTTGATTAACGAGGTCACATCATTAGTAGAATGATCTGATTGACATGACCCATTCCATTAGCATAGCACCCGATCGTTTAGTATGTTGCTATTGCTTTCTTCATGACTTATACATGTTCCTATAACTATGAGATTATGCAACTCCCGTTTACCGGAGGAACACTTTGGGTACTACCAAACGTCACAACGTAACTGGGTGATTATAAAGGAGTACTACAGGTGTCTCCAATGGTAGATGTTGGGTTGGCGTATTTCGAGATTAGGGTTTGTCACTCCGATTGTCGGAGAGGTATCTCTGGGCCCTCTCGGTAATGCACATCACATAAGCCTTGCAAGCACTGCAACTAATATGTTAGTTGTGAGATGATGTATTACGGAACGAGTAAAGAGACTTGCCAGTAACGAGATTGAACTAGGCATTGGATACCGATGATCGAATCTCGGGCAAGTAACATACCGATGACAAAGGGAACAACGTATGTTGTTATGCGGTCTGACCGATAAAGATCTTCGTAGAATATGTAGGAGCCAATATGGGCATCCAGGTCCCGCTATTGGTTATTGACCGGAGACGTGTCTCGGTCATGTCTACATTGTTCTCGAACCGTAGGGTCCGCACGCTTAACGTTACGATGACAGTTATTATGAGTTTATGCATTTTGATGTACCGAAGGTTGTTCGGAGTCCCGGATGAGATCACGGACATGACGAGGAGTCTCGAAATGGTCGAGACGTAAAGATTGATATATTGGAAGCCTATGTTTGGACATAGGAAGTGTTCCGGGTGAAATCGGGATTTTACCGGAATACCGGGAGGGTTACCGGAACCCCCGGGGAGACTAATGGGCCTATTGGGCCTTATTGGAAAAAGAGAAAAAGGGAAAAACCCACAAGCTGGCCGGCGCCCCCCTTCCCAAAGTCCTAGTAGGACTAGGATAGGGGCCGGCCGCCCTTCTCTCTCTTTTTCCCCCCGGGAGTCCTAATAGGATTAGGATTGGGGGGAGGAGTCCTACTCCCGGTGGGAGTAGGACTCCCCTGCGCCTCCTCTCCCTG